CTAAATAACGATCCAATTCTAACTTCAAATTTGATGTTTCATTTCTCTTTGCACTTTTATGTTTTTCAAAATTTGATCTCCAAGATTCTTTTCTTCCAAGAGCACTCACATCTACTTGATTTGGGTTTGAATTTAAAGATGAAGGAATCAACTCCTTTCCCTTGACTTTCATGTCATATTCTCTTACCAAGTCTCGACAAATAATTTTCACCTTTTCAATTTCAACATCAGAATCATGTGCATAAATTTGAGGGAAAAAATAATCCAATAAGTCAATTTTGTACCTAGGGTCTAACACTGTACCTACAACCATCACCCCATTAATCACACCCTAATACTTGTCAAATCTAGTCATCATGCTTGAAGCCATTTGATGAATGATAGAACTTTGACAACTAAGCGAATCAACCAAAGCTAACTTGATTTCACAAACTTTTGGAAAGAAGATATTTGTAGTTGGATACAAAGTGCCAGAAAATAAGAGTGTCACATCATAAAATAACTCTAACTTTTGACAAATATCACTTGCCATATTCAAATCATCTTCACTAGGCAAAGCTTTATATTGATTATCTCGTTGTGCCAATCTATCAAACACAATTTGTATTGTATGGCAACTTGAAGCATTAAAAATGTAGAATTCCACTGGTTTTACAATCAAGAACCAACTTTTTACTAAATGGAATACTCATTTGATCACATGTCTCTATAAATTTCTCCTCTTTTAGGTGTTGCTGTCCAAAAATGAACACTTTCTCTAATGTTTTCAATAGCTCCAAATATTATAGACAAACCATCTTTGACAATAAGATTCAATATATGAGCACAACAACGCATGTGAAATGGTTGACCACCCAAAATAAGAGACTTAGGTAACCATAACATCATTTGTGGTGCAATTATCAACGGTCAAAGTAGACATATTTCTATCTAGGTTCCAATCCATCAAACATTGGACCAAGACATCAGCAAGAACTTTGCTAGTATGAGGAGCAGGCACATAAATGAACCTAAAATTAAAATAAAAAGTTTTAATAATATAATCATAAGAAACTAAAAAATAAAGAATAAAAATGTAATTAATATAGTTTAGGGATATTAGTCATTACCTCATGAGTCGACTTTGAAGGGTCCATGAATCATCAATAAAGTGAGTTGTGATAGTCATGTATCCTTTGTTTTGATTACTAGCAATCCACGTATCAATGGTAATTACAATTCGACTTTGATTCTTTGACAATAACTTCATTGTGTTATCTTTTGCTTCTCTATACTCCTTCATCATTTCATTCTTAAGAGTGTTTTGAGAAACCCTTTTATACAAAGGTTGCAAAGCAGCACAAAACTCTATGAACCCTATGTGATCAACCATTGCCAATGGATACTCATGAAGAACTACCATCTTAATAAGTGCATGCCTTGCTAATTCTTGATTAAAACAATAGTTTCCAACAACTATGGTTTCACCCCCTATTTTCTTAGTTTTAAGGAATGCTTGCTTGATGTCTCGACATGTTCTAAGTTTGCAAATCTTAAAGTGACTCATCAAATGAGATTTCCCTTGCTTTGCCTCCCCCAACAGTTTATTGCCACAATAATTGTAAATGGCTTTCCACTTTCCATCTATTTTTTGCCTCTTAAAGTGATTCCAAACAACTGAAGTTTGTTTTCTTCAAATGATACCCTCACTTGGAATTGAGCTACTAGTTTCTACTTGAGTTGAATCATTACCTAAATTCATGGAGACATTATTTGATTCATCTCCATTTGATTCAACCACATTAGGCACATTTTTTTCTACTTGTTGTTGAGTGTCCATAGAAGTGGAGATTTGTTGTTGAGTGTCCATAGAAGTGGAGATTTGTTCGTAAGACATTCTATAAATAATAAGAAATAAAATATAATTATTTAGTACATAAAACTACCAATCATTTAGGAAAATTTAACTATTAAATATCAAACTGATTAAATATTGATATATTGAAATGAATACATATTGAAGATAAATATGATAATGTGGTCATGCCCATGGGTATACGTATATTATATTATTTATATAGCAGTAATATGTGGCTATACATAAAGATAAATAAAAACCACAAATAGTTTTCAATCCGAACATAAAAACGGTATTAAATTAATAAGTAATAAATCAATTGAATAGGTACAAGTATCGACGTTAAAAAAGAAATAGCAATAAATTAATTCAATACTAACCGACAAAATAAATTTGAATGCTATTAAATAGAAATTCAAAGAGGTAGGCAAACAATAATCGATTAAGTAATGGGATTTAAAATCGAATGTTTGAAAGCCAAACTCACTTTCAATTTGATTGATTAAGTTGCCTTTTTGGATCTGCGTGAGAAGAAGAAATAAAAAGCATGAGAAGAAGAAAGAAAAAATCACACATGAGGAATGAAAACAGGGCATGAGAAGAAGAAAGAAAAAATCACACATGAGGAATGAAAACATATCATGAGAAGAAGAAAGAAAAAAACTGAAAACCACGTAGCACTAGGAATGAAAAAATGAACCTGAAGTTGTGCAGACTGCGGCGAGTGAAACTGTGCAGTGCCGGTGCGTGAGGAATGACACCATGAAACCTTGCATTGTGTGAAAATGTGCAGTGAAAATTTTGAAAGTGTATAAAATTTTGTGGAATGATTCTCTGTTAGTGAATTTGACCATTGTCATGAATATATACAAAGCTTTTTTAGCATTTTCATAAATAACAAAACTAATCTTGGAAACAAATAAAACTAATTTATGAAAGCATAATATCAAGGAGATATCTCATCTTGATATATTGTAGTCTAGAAAATATTCACAAAGTAATTACAAGAGATATATTCCATTAATTACCAAGATATTCCACTAATAAAGTGTGATGACTAATGTGTGGGTTGTGCGGCTATGAAAAGAAAATAAGATGAGAGAGTGTAATTTTAGAGTTATGTAGTACAAGGATAATTAGGATATTTAAGAAATATTGTTAAACGGGTACCCGTGGGTATGGATATCATCATATACCTGCCCCTGCATTGTTTATAAACAGTAAAAAATTATTCGTTTCCATTATCCACGAGTACCCAATTAGCCTATCCATTTATTATCTGTAACGGATTTTAAATTTAATTCGGGTAAAGTTGTTGGTCTTGGTGTCGATCTTAGTGTTATTTATAATGTTGATCCTTATTGATGTTCAAATTCAAGTTCTGGTCTGAGTGTTAATCAAGGTTGATCCTTACAAAAAACACTACACAAGGTCACAATCCATCAAATATTACAAAAAACACTATTGGTTCAGTTCGGTTCAAATATTACAAAAAACAAAAACTGAACCAATAGTTTGCGATTTTTTCACATTTTTTTGTATACAATCATAATTACATAACACTACACAAGGTCACAAACCATCAAATAATACTACATAATATTGTATCAAATGTCATAATTATGTCTTAACCATTATAATATTATACATTCTAAATAATATTATCAAATAATACTATTAGTTATGTGATATTCTCCAATACCCACACAGTAGAAAGAAAGATTTTTTAACAAAAGAAAAAGAAAAGACTCAAAAGAGAGAGACTCTCACTCTCAGAGGAAAACGTTGGAGGAAAAGTGAACAGAGAGGCGACAGCGCGAGACAGTCACACGAAGGTGTAGAGGCAAAGAATGACAGAGCCGTAGAAGAGGGCACTCAAGTGAGAGAAAAGTAAACAAAGAGGCAACAACGGGCGAAGGTGCAGAGGCTAGGGGGAGAGAATGGCAGAGGAGGGAACTTAAGTGAGTGGGAGAAAATGGTGGACGGATGAAGGAGGGCACTTAGGTTAGACAAAGAGAGGCAGCACTAGTAGAGAAGACTTCTAATTTGGGAATGAGAATGAGAGACCTAGAGTTTAACCTACAATCACACACCCAGATCAATCACAAGCAACACTGCGGTTCGGTTCCAACTGACTGAACCGCAAATCGAACTAAATAGATCGATTATTTGAAAAACACATCCAAAAAATCCAAAATTTATTGGTTTGTTTCGATTTTTGATTTTTTTGGATCAATTCTCGATTTTCTTTTCGATCCAGTTCGGTTTTAAACACCCCTACAACTCGTAGGGTTGATCCATGTCGAGGTTCTAATTCGAGTTGATCAAAGTGTTGATCTACTTTTGTTGAGGTATGATTCTAGTCCTAGTTTTGATTGTGGAGTTGATCTTAATACTTGTTCATAGAGTTGATCCTTGTCTTGGTGATCATTCTTGTTGGTCTTGGTGTTGATCCTAGTAAAGGTCTTAGTGCTGATCATAGTGTTGGCCATGATGTTGATGCTTTTTCTAGCGATAATTTGATTGTTGGTGCTAATATTTCTCAATCATGGCTCTAAACCTCTTTAGTTGTGGTTTTGATTTCAGTGTTGATTGAGTAATTAATTCTCATAATGTTATAAATCCTAATAACAATTAGTGGAATCAAAACACTAAATTTCTATTTTATTTAATAAGTATTTAAGAATTAACATTTGATATTATATTTGATCCATAAGTTTTAAGACTTTAAATATTTATAAAGATAATTAATTTTTAATATTAAAAATTTAATAATAAAATTATTTTAAAAAAATATATACACCAAATCAAATTATAGATTAGGGATTTATATGTATAGATTATAGATATGTGATGAAATTTAATTGGCCAAGTTCGATCTAGTTTTATTAACTAAGCTTCTTTTAAAAAAAAAAAAAAATGAGACAAAATTTAGAGGAACCGCGAGGGACATGGCGTTGTGCACCTATGAATAGTAAGTTCGTACAAGTACAAGGCCGTTAGTTGCTCCAAGAGAAGCGTGGCGGTTACGTGTCTCGTCATTAATTCCATTGCCTTTAGAATCATGCCACGTGCACTACGTTGGACACGCGTAAGAACTCAAAGGGGCACTTGAATCTATATAAACTTAAACCATTCAAGTTCAAACTAATTCACACAGAAGAACAAAATTTCAAGAATTCGTGAAAATGCAGGCAGCAAGGAAAGCGGTAGAGACCATCAAGGAAACCGCAGCCAACATTGGAGCCTCTGCCAAGTCTGGCTTCGACAAAACCAAAGCCACTCTTCAGGAGAAGGTAATACAAAATTTTAATAACACATCTCAATATATATATAAATAAAAAATTATCTATTTGATATGCATTATGTCAATATATTTTCAGAATTTCAAACGAAATTAATTTGATGTGGATTATTAAATATTTGTTTTTTCAAATAGGACAATCGTGGATCATGGACATTATTTGATAGTGGTAGAGTTATTTTGATATATTGGTTGTGCTAAGTTTTGGATTGGGCCTGAACAGGGTGAGATGATGAGTGCGCATGATCAAAATGAGAAGGACATAGCGGCCCATAAGAAGGAAGAGAAGATCCAAGAGGCAGAGAGGGAGAAGCAGCAGGCACGTCAGTACAACGCCACCACAAAACAATCTGCACTGGCTGGGGACATGGGCCAGGCCCACCACTCCGGGCCCGGCACTGAGCCTGCCACGATCGACACCCCTGGGCCAGGGCCTACGACTGAGACCACCACATCCAACACAACTGGGCCCGGGCCGGAGAGTACTGGGCCTGGGACTGAGACTGCTACGTACAACTACGAAAATACTTTACCCCCAAGTACTGGGCCTGGGCCTGAGGCTGGGACTGCCATGTTCCCCACTGGTGACTATGGGCTAATGGGGGGTAGCCAGAGTACAGTAATGCCTGGCCATAGACATGGGCATGGGCATGGGATTGGGCTTGGGCATGAGCCCGGGCAGGGACTTGATCATGGGCCCGGGCCCGGGCATGGAGGACCCAATGAAGATATGATGGGCCCACGTGCAATGGAGACTAACAGCGGCCTGGATACGACGGCCCAAACTACCATTGGGGACGGAAGTGCTCCTTCGAGTGGGCCTACTTTAAGTTGAATGTTTATTTGTTTGTAAGTTATGTTGTTTAGTGTTTTGGAGTCTTTGTGCTACATATGTTGTACACTTGTACTTGTTTCTTCTTTGTCTCTCGTATTTCGCAATCATTTTAGTTATGGGACCAGTGTTGTAAATGGAACATGCCAAGTTGCTATATCTGTTTTGTTTCGATAAATAAAAGTGTAGTCGTCAACTACGTGCTTGGGTTTTTTGAGTTTTTTATATAAATTATTTTTGAATCATTATTATAAGTAAATTCTTGATTTTTAAGGTTATAATTTCTGATTGGGTTGTCAGGAATACAGTTGCTAGGGATGACAATGGGCCTTTAGGGGGGGTGAATAATAGTAAATTCGTCTTTGCCTCGGTGAATAAAAATTGGTCTCATACCTACCTCATATCTACGCGGGTATATATTAAGCGAGTATCCATGAATTTCTTGAATATCCACGAATATTTACGGATATTTATGAATATTTATAAATTTTTTAAGAAATTAAAAAAATTATATTACAAATAAAAGTTTATATTTTTTTTGGTAAAAATAAGAAAGATTACAAAGATGGTCACAATGAGGATTGAACCTAGGTCCTCATACTTCTAACTATTCCAACTCCTCTCCACCCAACCACTAAGTTAATCCTAGTGGTTAATTTAAATTTATATTTAATGTCATTAAAATATTAAAAATAAAAAATTAATATTAATTTTGAATTTATATTTAACGTTAATTTTGTTAAAATAATAATAAAAATGCAAGATAATTAATAAATTAAAATACATCAATCTCACAAGTAAGTTAAAGTCTCATCACAAAGCTACAATAATTCAATTTCATAATTCCAAACGAAAGTAAACAACTTAAAATACATAAATCTTATTGCTCCAATCAAAGTTAAAAAATTAATCAAATTATATCTAACATAATTCTATAACATGCTTAACACATGTTGGTAACTTATTCATCAACCTCACTTTTGTAAAAAAATAAGATGAGAGAGTATAATTTTACAATTATATAGTACAAGGATAATTATGATATTTAAGAAATATTATTAAACGAGTACTCGCGGGTATGGATATTATCATACCCGCCTCCGCCCCATTTATAAACGGGTAAGAAATTATCCGTCTTCATTATTCGTGAGTACTCAATTAACCTGTCCATTTATTATGCGTAGCAGATTCCGTTAATACCTGCGAGTGCATGTGTTTTTGCCATCCCTAACAGTTACATAGAAACTAAATTAAACTCTATTGCAAAGGTAATATCTTCTTATCGCATTCAGTTGTTTCATTTTAATGCAGTTCAAATTTTGAAGATTGACAATTGTATAAATGTTGTTGAGAAGGCTTGAAGTAAAGAAAAAGAGATATTTTGGCCTCTCACGAATGACTTGTAAAATGTAAAGGCATTTTAATACTTTTTCTTACCGGAAATCTGTTGTAGAGATGATTTGCCGAGTAAGATTGGTGAGCCTCCTTCGCTGGTATGTTGGTGTTCCAAGATGGGGGTGGTACCTGCAAAAGAGACTTCGATGCGACAGGTAGAGGTTGTATGAGTATGAGTCTCGTATAAGTAATGCACGTACCTTAGTGTAGATTAGGGTTGCGTTGGGCCTTGGGCCTGAGATCAGTTATGATCTAATTGGATAGCGGATCTCGTCTGACCGAGATCTCCTCAGATCAGTTATGATCTGGTTAAGTGACGAGCTGACGTCACGTAGCGCGTACCCCAGGTCGTCATGCGCTGCGATGCCGAGCTGGGAGCTCGGTCTTACAGTACGGATAATATACTAGTTCCCCGAGCTCCAAAGACTGTGGGTCGAGGAGTTAAGACCGAGCTCATCAAGTGGCTGTGACCCCTCGCGTGCGCGTGCTTGTTGAGATGCCATGTGTCATAACTGGTCGTCTCCCGAGAACGTGCAAGTGGTGCGTTAATGGGAGTGACGGTTATGTAATGATGGTTTTCCTTTATCATAATTGTTTTTCAATTAATGTGTCATCAGACACGTCCCTTGGCTGACACATGGCGAGACCGTTTTGAATTTGGGAGACACCCTTTTCTCTCCCTCGCGCCTCTTCCCCTTTCACTTTACTCTCTTTCTTGCTTTGGCTTCTCGAGTACGATAGCTCTCTTTGCCTTCTTGCTTCCATTAGAGGATGGGGCGTTCTACTTCGGCAGGCTGCCGAAATTCCCTTTCTATTGGTGCCCCAAACCGTCTAGGTTTCACGGGGTGGGCCAATTGAAATTAACGGCTTCGGAGACGGCCGCCATTAAGAATCTTGTTGCGCTTCCTCGCCCGCTGGATTGCAAGCTCATCTTGTCGTTTGCGAATTCAGCGTACAAGGAGAGGGGCCTGGAGAGTGAGTATCTCGTCCTCTTTAGATTGTTAGGGTTTGCAAAACCCTCTTTTGCTTATGTGTTTTGCTTTTTGTGTTTTCAGGCATAATGGGCAAGAGTAAGTGGCGCGAGCTGAAGCACCGCTACAATGTTGCTGAGCTCGAGATTTCTGAGCCTCAAGAGGAGGAGGTGTCTCCCCTGAAGGTCAATCGAAAAAGAAAGAGGGGCGAGAAAGAGGTCGGGGGGACCTCTGCCCCTCGCAGAATGGAGGAGGTGACCTCTAAGGCTGCAGATGCTGATGCAGTCGATTTCACTGGGAGCCTTCCGCTTGGGGAGGTTCCCCAAGTGGCTGTTGCAGGGATTGCTAAGCAAGCTGCTCCCTCTGTCGAGGTAGGTGTTTTGTGCTTTAATTTATCTTCTATGTTGATTTGGTTTTGTTTTTTGAGGTGCTGTCTCTCTTTGCAGGCAGGTATAGCTGCCGAGGTGGAGGGCCTGGTTGCTGAGCAGGTCGCCCAGGCTGCCAAGGTGAGTACCTCACTTTTTGCTTTTCCCTTTATCTTGTATGTTAGTCTCTTGTTTCTTGACATGAGGTCAATTTTTGCAGGAAGGGAACGCTGCTGAGGTCTAGGTGCCTCCAAGGTCGGAGATGCCGAGCGTGGACCCCCTGTCGCCGAGCAGCAGACGCCCGTTTCTGCTTCTATTGAGACGCGCAGTAAGGGGCCGAGTCTTGAGGACCCTACAACCACGCCTGCCACCTCGGCAGCGCCGTCAGGATCATCGCAGGGGGCTTCCCGGAGCCAGTACATAGCTCACCGCTTCGGGAAGGGCCTCACCCAGGTGCGACTGGACCATGTGAGTGTGTCGGCCGATGTGAACTTGCTGTGGAGCGCTGGGGTGACCGCCGAGAAGTTCTTCCCTCGAGGTTCGCTGACCTCGGATGACCAGGGATTGATCGATGGGGCTAGGCCTGTGGAAAGCTTCGACGCCGCCCAAGTTTTTCTGCAGAGAACTATGGCGATTGTGGACCACTGGAAGCATAAGTGGCCCACACAGCAGGAGGAGCTGGTTAGGCTAAGGAACCGAGTTCAGCCTCTGAAGGACGAGAACAAGGTCCTAAAGGAGGAGAACAAGGTGCTGAGTGCCGCCCTTGGCAAGGCGAAGATGCAGGGTGCCGAGCTTCAAGCAACGAAGGCAGATCTCGCCAGGGTTCAGAAATCGTTGGAGATTGCCCTACGCTCCAACGAGAATTATGCTTACCAGGCGGGCGAGCTGTAGGGTCTCGTCGCGTCGTCCCGAGGTCGGGTGCGGAGCTTGGAAGATGAGGTGACGTCTTCCCGGGGTCGGGTTCACTCTTTAGAAGACAAAGTGACCTTTCTAAGGGGCGAGCTTGTTGTGGCGGTTGAGGAATGTCTCCGCGATGAGGTCATTCTCGGTGGCAGGGAATAGGATATTGCCGCCCTGAGAGCGGACCTCGCGAAGCTGGAGGCAGAGAAGGCGGCGCTGGAGAAGAAGCTTGAGGAGACCGAGCGCTCGGTTCTGATTGAGCATAAGAGGGGTTTCCTCAAGGCTGCTTGCCAGGCCAGGCTTCTCGCGCCAGGATTCGATTTCTTTACCATGCATGTGGAGAAAGTCATCCGTTTCGGGAAGCTTGTCAAGGAAGACGATGTCGAGGATAGCTCTAGTGACAACGCCTCCACCTAGGCCGTTTTTGTTATGTTTTTCTACTTTGTTATTCCTTTACTTGGATTCATGTATTGAACTCGGTAAACATGGTTATGTATGTGTATATTTTTCTTTGCCTATTTGCGTTTGTGCCTTTCTTTGCCTTTGTGTTTAGGCTTGATTTTTGCTGTTTGCGCGTTTTGAGACATGCGTTCGATGTTTGTTGTATGCTTTTATACTTGGTGATACTTCGCCTTGAGTTGATCATGCCGAGGTTCGAACGCGACCTCGGTTTTTCGTTAAGTAATTTTTTGTGAAGGTTCGAACTCGACCTTAATCATACCGAGGTTCGAACTCGACCTCAGATTTTCTGTTAGGTAATTTTTGTGAAGGTTCGTACTCGACCTTAATCATACCGAGGTTCAAACTCGACCTCAGGTTTTTCGTTAAGTAATTTTTGTGAGGGTTCAAACTCGACCTTAATCATACCGAGGTTCGAACTCGACCTCGAGTTTTTCGTTAAGTAGTTTTTTGTGAAGGTTCGGACTCGACCTTAATCATACCGAAGTTCGAACTCGACCTCAGATTTTTCGTTAGGTAATTTTTGTGAAGGTTCGAACTCGACCTTAATCATACCGATGTTCGAACTCGACCTCAGGTTTTTCGTTAAGTAATTTTTGTGAAGGTTCAGACTTAACCTTAATCATACCGAGGTTCGAACTCGACCTCAGGTTTTTCGTTAAGTAATTTTTGTGAGGGTTCGAACTCGACCTTAATCATACCGAGGTTCGAACTCGACCTCAGGTTTTTCGTTAGGTAATTTTTGTGAAGGTTCGGACTCGAACTTAATCATACCGAGGTTCGAACTCGACCTCAGGTTTAGTTAAGTAATTTTTGTGAAGGTTCGGACTCGACCTTAATCATACCGAGGTTCGAACTCGACCTCAGGTTTAGTTAAGTAATTTTTGTGAAGGTTCGGACTCGACCTTAATCATACCGAGGTTCGAACTTGACCTCGGGTTTTTCGTTAAGTATTTTTTTGTGAAGGTTCTAACTCGACCTTAATCATACCGAAGTTCGGACTCGACCTCAGATAGACGTGTTAAGGTTCGTACTCGACCAAAGACAAACGTGTTAAGGTTCGTACTCGACCTCAAATTTTAGCGTAGAATGTGTTTCATCAAGGTTCGAATTCGACCTCGGATTTTAGTGTTTTAAGGTTCGTACTCGACCTCGAATTTATAGCAGAATGTACTTTACCAAGGTTCGAATTCGACCTTGGATAAGCGCGTTAAGCATAGAGCATTTTGTGGTAAAATGATGAAGATAAAAGAATATGAATAAGAGAGAATGAGTTACTTTATTGATGAAAATATGTGCCTCATTAAAAACCCTCTCAGCCAAAACCCATTTTTCTATTTTTTGTGACAAAAGACTGAGGCGGGAAAAGAGTGCACAGCTCATTCGTACAAAGCTTAACTGAAATAAAACTTGAGATGCGTAGCATTTCAAGTTCGCGGTATAGGTTTCCCGCTGAGTTCTTCCAGTCTATATGCTCCATTTTCCAAGTCTTCTGTAACTCGGAATGGGCCACCCTAAGTGGGCGCAAACTTCCCATTTGACATGTCTTTCCGTGCTTTGCCTAGAAATCGCCACACCAAGTCACCCACTCGGAAAGAGCGAGGTCGTACTCGTGTGTTGTACCTTCGGGAAGCTCGGAGCTTGCAGGCTTCTTCGTGGATTTGAGCTTCATCTCTAAGCTCGTCAACCAAGTCGAGGTCGGCCGCCATCTCTTGAGCGTTCTGCTCGCTATTGAAAACTTGACGTCGGTGGAATGTCCTCCGACTTCTACTGGGATCATTGCGTCAGTTCTGTAAGTTATCCTGTAAGGCGTTTCTTGCGTGGTTGACTGGGGAGTGCAATGATATGCCCATAGGATGCTGGGAAGTTCGTCGGGCCACTGTCCTTTGGCGTTCCCCAGCCGCTTCTTGAGTTCCCGGAGGATGACTTTGTTGGCTGCTTCAGCTTGGCCATTGGTTTGGGGGTGTTCCACCGAGGTCGGAAGATGTTTGATACCGAGCTCGCGGAGGAAGTCCTCGAATCCCTGTGCAATGAATTGTCAGCCATTGTCAGTAACAAGGGTGTGAGGGATTCCGAATCTGCAAATGATATTCCTCCAGGTGAATCTTTGCACGTTCTCAATAGTGATTTTGGCGAGTGGGCATGCCTTGATCCACTTGGTGAAGTAATCGATTGCCACTAGGAGAAACTTCAGTTGACCTTTCGCAGGGGGGAATGGCCCGAGGATGTCCATCCCCCACTGGGAGAAAGGCCATGCCGACATCATATGGTGGAGAGCTTCAGGCGGTTGCCGGTGTGTGTTGCCGAACTGCTGGCACTCTTTGCATTTTTGGATGTAGTCTTGGCAGTCCGACTTCAGAGTTCACTTTTTCATATATTTTGTACATAGTTCCTTTGTATAGGTCTAATTTTGCCTTTATATTTGTGAGGCACTTTACTTGTTTTTAATTAGTAGGAAAAAAAGGGTGGCATTTAGCAATGCTTGAGGGTGTGACTAGCGCAACAGCTATAACCAATGTTGGCAGCTTGACCCCTGTTCACTAAAATAGTAATATCTGGAGTTCTAGACCTCCTTTTTGGGTGATTCCAACGCCATTGGAAAGCTAACATTCAAGGCTACAACTTTAATGAAGACTTAAAGACCAACATACTCACGCCAGGCTCACTAATATCCCGCCCGGTGCAAAACTCAAACAGAGACCTACAGATTCATTGCGCCCGTGTTTTGGGTGTTTAATTATTTATGTTGTTATATTGAGTAATTTGGCATGGTTATGGAAATTTTTTTATGTAATTATGGAATATGCTATTTTTGTTTGGTTTGGAAAGCTAATAGGACTTAGAGGAATAAGGTAATGGTATGGATTGGGAGATCTCTTGGTGAGATCAGGATATAATCTTTGGGAAAATATGGAATTTGGGAGTCCCATGGTGAGGATTCCAATGTGGAAATTTTCCAAAGATTATATAATAAACCACTTCAGATGTTAGTTGGATTCTGAAGTACTCCTCTAAGTATTCTATTTGCTACCGGTATGGGGGCAAAGCCGAGTCATACCGATGGATGAAGTGGCCACGATCACTTACAACTTTAATGAAGACTTAAAGACCAACATACTCACGCCAGGCTCACTAATATCCCGCCCGGTGCAAAACTCAAACAGAGACCTACAGATTCATTGCGCCCGACGCAATATCAGTAACGAAAACACAAGGACCACGTCTGATAGTGCGCCCGACATGATTCTCCCCACGCTCGGCGTGATTCACCCAGGGATTCTCATTTTAAATTGCGCTCGGCGCGACTAACCTCGCGCCCGACATGATTTGGCAATGATAGTCTCTGATGAATTTATGCCCGACGCCAAGAACTGCACCCAGCGCATTTACAACCAGAAAACCCTCGAAAACCTTGAAAATTCCTTCCAATCATGAATCCAATCCAAATTACATGCGTTTGAACCATTATAAAGCATAAACAATATCCAAAAACAACATTTTAAGCAATAAAATCAAGTATTAACCATTAATCCATGGAAATCGTGAAGAAACCCCAACCAAAAGCCTTTCCCCTCAATCCATCCTTAATCAGGCATAAAGCATGGAATTAATATGATATTTCAAACCCATACATACTAGATTAAGTCTTATAAGTACTACCCTTACCTTAGAAACCTCATAAATGCACGATTTGGACAAAACCCTCAAATCCCAACTCAAACTTCAATCTCACTTTTCAAGCTTCTAGAGGCTAAATCTCTTAATACTCTAGTTGTGAAGATTGATCCTGGCTTGATAAGCTTCCCAAATGTGTCCTCAGCTT